AAACGCGGTAGAAGTCGTTGAGTACGAGTCCTAATCTAAAAAAATTGTAAAGTTGAAATTCATTAATTTTTCAGTAAGAATTATGGGTAATATTCTATATAAAATGTTACGTAATATCAAATACTTGTACTTTTAACATAAAGGTAATAACTCAATTAATATACGCTCGAGAATCGATTGTGTATTTTCCATTACAATAATTTAATCCGCAAACTTTGACAAACTCCAAGTTAAATATTTTGTAGCTCTTTTTTTGCACAAAATAATGGAAAATCGTAAAATGATGCAAATCTTTTAAAAAATAAAGAATTGAGTCTACATTCTGATTAGCTGAAAACGGCTAAAACTTATGCCAACATTGGCTAAATACTCATCCTACATACAGGGTATCTAGGGAATATAGGGAAGATCAAAATACACTACTATGGTATATAGTCTCTCCGAAATCAGTTGAACAAGCAAAAAAACGTCTGGTAATAAAATTTAATGAGTTTCATAGGCGTCCCTAAAAAAATTTTCTGCTACAGGTAAAAAATTATAATAATTTGTATATAATGTGTAGAAAATTTCTATTATATTTTTATTTGGCCAACAACATTTTAATTATTTATGTTCTCAAAAAATTTTATTATATTGCTGGTAAATTTCGTTTACTTCCGTTTCAAAAGGTCTCCAAAATGCCATGTTGTGATAATATTATTAAACAAAATATCCCTCTTATTTCTCCCTTTCGCAATTGTAATATGAATGATTGATATAAGGTGCCTATAATAAATTAAAATTGCCTGAATCACACCAAATCCCGCATTGCTGCACTGCACTGCTGGGCAATTTATCAACCACTTGTCATCTGCTGTGATTTACTGCCCAGTAGCCCAAAGTGTGATCGTTTTCCTTTGCCCGCGCTCGCATTCTTCAACTGAACGTATACATTTCTATCACCTCCACGTTTAGTTCGACCACACCTGTTTGGCTAAATAAATATGGGAATTATGTTTTCAAATATTTCAATGCCGAGTTGTTGCGTCAGCGACCGAACCAGGTACATACTATCAATCTGTTAGTTCTTCAATTGATATCGGAAATACTATACTTTCTTCTATTTTTCCATATTGTTCAAAGCCACCTTGTATATTTCGATAAAATTTTGGTAATTTTGGTATTATGAATTGATGTAATAATTGGCCGTTTACTATTACAATGTATCCAGAAACGGATTAGCCCCAACATATTAAAATTTTGACAAATACATATACTATTTTTTGATACTTAGAACGTTTTTCTTTCACTGTTCATCTATTCCGATAATATGAACGGTGTTCGAGATAAATCGGTTTCCGACACAATAGTAAAACCAACTAATACAAACGCAATAAACTTAGTTTAATGTTTACAACTATTTAACTTAGGAGAAACAAATTAAAGGTTATAATGAACATTTACCAGACAATTGTTACATACATAATTGTGCACCACCTCATTTTGAATGATAGTTCGAGGGGGCTTTTTTATGAACGCCTAGGTCGATCGACTTTTTTTTCGAGAGGGAAAAAAATTGTACACTAAAATATTCATTTTCGTAATTACATATTACTAACTTGTTAGCAGAGATCAACAGAGAACTAATCATATTCGTTACAATCCTGGGAAAGCATTCGCAGAATAAGAAAAATATACGGAGCTGATTTTAAACACATGTCGGAAATGATATTTACCGTTTTTTCATTTTGTATTATTGTGGAAATGTTTATGTTATGACCAACCTTTTTAAAGGTTTTTGGACTTTTGCAAAGTTAAATAGGTAACCTAAATACATGAAACAATGTGTAGAAAAAAGTAAATTCTACTTGTTACTGTGTGTTTCAAAAATCGATTGACTTCAAAAATCCTTTGTTTTATTGAAATAATTAAAAATTACTTAGTTTAAGAAAAATCTTTGGGGTATATGAAAATATTTTTGATGTGAAATCATGACATTGTCCAAATTTTGAAAATATACATGTAGGTACCAATCCGTTTCCAGATACCTTGTAATAGTAAAAAAACGGTTTTAACATCAAATCAAGATGCCTTACAACTATGTCAAAATTTTATCAAAATATACAAGGTGGTTTCAAGGTTAGAATCCAAAATGTAAATATCTAGATACCCTTTTAGGGCCTAATATCTCTTGCTAGAAAAGCCATTAGGAAAAATATTAGGAAGCCTTCTTGTTAGTGTTATTTTTAATCGTGGAAAATATGGAAGGGCCTAGATCTACTGGGTGTCAATTTAAATACGTATTATAATAATATTACATTAGTCTCTTGAGCTGTGGATGAAAAAACTAGAATTTATTTTAACGGCATTTTTATGCTTTCGTAATACAATCGGTAATTATGCAAATACATTTAACGCTTATCAATTGAGAAATAATCGTATATACTTAATTAATGGAAATATTTTTAGTACTCGATAAACGTAAATACCTAAATAGTTCTTTTTTTTTGTAGTTTGTAAACCGTGCGAATATTTGGGTTAAACCAGCTGTCTTAATTAAGATAGAAGTTGACCAACACTTTTTACAACATTCATAGATGTGAAATAATAATTAACGTTGAATGAGTACTTTTAGACACATGGTAGATGACAAATACCTCTATAATTGCAGCATGTGATTCATGTCAAAAGCATAGCGGATTTTTAAATATTTGTACACTTTTAAGAATTTTACACAGTCGAGTTAGAATCTCGATTAAAAAGTGTAGGTCTGCCTGGTTTTGAAACATAATTAAATACTAAGGCCATTAATCTATAGAACTTGCTTAGAAATTCAAATGACAGCTCCGGCAACAATTTATTCCTTACTGTTTATGATAAACAAGTATTTCAAGGCGGCTTTTTCAGAAACGTTCTTGGGTCCACGTCGCAGAGTTTGGCAATGTTATTCCAACTTTCCCGAAAGAGAACTTGCTAGAAAATATTTTTTTTCGGCTTATGCAACAAGGTGGAGTTAAAACAATAGCTGAGATTATTTACAACCAATTGTGTTAAAGTGTTAAATTGCACAACGGAATAAAAAGTGACCTAGGTTCGCGCAAGGAGGTCGCAGAATTGCACATGCTTAGTACTCTTACGTATCATATGGTCGAAATGGTCGTATTATTTATTGTCATGTGGGTTTTGTACAGGGTTTAATGTACTGCGCTGTAATGGATTTTGTCTCTCCGGTTTTATCGACTCTCGACTTTCATCACTGTTGAACCGTTTCAGAAGCCAGTCGCAATCTTACCCATGGAATTTATTCCATTCTGATCTTTTCATTTCGTCAACTGGTGCATTTAAGAGAGAACTGTAGCCACCAAAACAATAACTACTATTGCTGAATATCGTACGCGAAACTGAAAAAGTATTCAAATTATAAAGTAAATATAAATCTTGATAAAATTTACGGCTTATATACAACAATCTTCAATTAATTAAAATTTACAAAATATGCTGCATCTTCGTCAACGAATTGTTTTATAAATTAATATATTTCATTTATTATATTGATTACATTAATGCACAGTAGTAGATTATCACTCGGTTGCTTCAATCCAGGAACTAGGTATATATTTAAACCGTCTTCAGAGCAATAGAAATATCAGGTATATATGTAGTTTCGTTTTATCGACTTTTATGCGCCTGGCTATAAAGTGCCCACAAATATAAAATTATGTAGGAATTTATTAAATACCTACCTAGAATTGCACATACAGTTTCCAGACCGCTTTCTCGTTCATTTTACATTATACAGACCGGAGAATGTAGAGTGCGGTGAAATAATATTAAATGGAGTAGTTTCTCTCTCTGTATATTTGTCCTCGGTCACGCTGCTTGCAACCTGGGAAAATATCAGTCATTACACAGATAAAAATCGATAGAAAGAGCCAAGGTTAATTCTATGTTATTATTTCGAATCTAATAACAAGATGAATCATAATTTTTGCATTTACCAAAGCAAAGTACTCATGCCGGTGTTTTTTATGTACGCGTTTACTTTATACAGGGTGACTCACTTTACGTTTTTTTGATAAGTATTTCCCAGACAATTTCACGTATATCATTGGGATATAGATTATAAATTTGTAGTACTACGCGTATAATTTTATTATACTATGAGGAAATTAAATAAAATATAAAAAAAAACTTGACACAACGTATGAAGCTGTATGTCAAATTCTAGTGACTTATTGGCAAGAAAAGGACAGGTTTTCAATAAAACTTGGTTCCCCGTTAAAAATGCTGTTACATTTAAGAATTGTTAGCTCATTATATGTTAATTGGCTGCATTTCATTTGTCATATAACTTGCAAGCCTTGCTGTATAAATTATTTTTAAATATGGTAATTTGCGACGCAAATAATTAAATAGTAATTATGTTTATGCACGATATAGCTACCGTTCTATTAATTATTTCTAGGGAAATTTCGCTTATGTGTTAAAATCGTATTGTTTAAACGGCGTTACCCAATAACTGGATAATTGTACATTGCGGTAATGAATGTGGCGTGGCAGTCGCCGTTCTCTCCCGGCACCAGTTTCTATATTTAGATAATCTTGTTTTCCTATGACTAATGGTGTTATTCTAAAGTGATAGGATGAAATAAGAATAAGATACGCATAAATGAAAGAAGTGTTCGATCTGAGGATATATGAGTGTTCTTAGAGTAATGAACCTCACTTTGCCTTGATTTGAAACAAATCTCTACTGCCCATTATAAAAACTGAACGCAATATTTTCGCCTGTTTTGTTTTGCTCTTCCTAATAGGTACCCCCACTTGTCATCAGTAAAAATACAGATGTTTAATAATTCTGTAAAACTTGTGCAATTCATTCTGTTCTGTAACAGACATAAACAAAATACTAAATTTAAACTTGTTTAGCCACTGTTTGCTTGCCAATATTGAGTGGATTTATAAGTCGAGAACTCTACTTGCTACATGTATTTGGTGCTGAAATACACTTTTTTTTTCAGTTCATGATGTTAGTGGGTTAGTAGACAACGCCGCAGAGAGTGAATCAGAGGACGAGTGGAACTATATCAAAGGAGACGACGCCAATAAGGAGAATATTTCTCCGCAGCCAGAAAAAGAGGTACGCGTCTCGGTAAAATCTAGAAACGAAAGGAACTTTTATTTGAATTTTTTCAGGTTGCTGAGGTGCCTGAAGAGGACGACACCATGTCTCAGTTGAATCCGAACGCTGCCGAATTCATCCCAGTGTCGCCAACTCGAAGCATCCCTTCTCCAGCATGCAGGCTGCTGAACGATCAGGTGATCTCGCAGTCTCCCAGGAGGCCTACTTCCAACGATATAGACATAAACGTACCCAATGCTGTGGAATTCGAGAAAGAAGTCAAATCCAGGCCCAGCGAGGTGGAATCCTATAGCAACGGACACGATGAGAGTGTATGTACCTCTTGCATTAACGATTTTAATTTTTTAATTTTTGCAAAGGATACTTTTATGTAACTGTCATTTGTGATAAATTTTATTGTGGGTAAAACAAATATTTCTGCTATCTTTCTTGGATTTATCTTGAGTCACATGTCAACATAATAATAAAATTAACTATAATTAACTTCAGATTAGATATTGCAGAAACAAACAGAAAGCGAAAAAGGCAATATTTGTTCTGCGATATCCTGGCATAGTATCTTGAGAAAAATCGCTCTATTAGTAACAAAGTTTATAAACTGAAAGTTAAGTCCCTTATTGTGTAAGTTTGTATGCATTTTACAAACTAGAACTGATAATTCAAATATATAGAGTAAGTAAAATGAAATATTTTTCCAATATCGATTGTAATTAAAGTTGATAAGGGGATAAATGTCAATAAAAATTAATTTCTTTGTTAATACAGTCTTGTCAAACGAACAACGAATGTTGTTCAGTATCAATATTTTGTACGGAGCCAAATTTTATAAAGGATAAGTAACATTCTTTTTTCCAAGCAGTAAATTTTCATTTTTAGGACCATATATCATCCGCCGATTTAATGGAGAACCTATTGAATGGGAAGAATATCGACGAGATCCCAGAGTTCCAGCCTGGCAGCACCCCAAGCAAAATTGTGCCAAGTGATGAGTTCCATTTTGGTCCCAACGCAGCTCCCTTCACACCCGCCAAATTCATGGACCAATCCGAAACTGGGCTTTCCACGAGAGCCGTTTATGGTGATGAGTCAACTGCCACCTTGGGCACGTCTTTCAATGAATCGGAGGCTTCCCAAGATACCGCAGCCGATTTAAATTTACTTAACAAGGAGTCCGATCCTATGTCAATGTCGTTCTATGCTGATAAAGGGGAGAGTAATCCATTCGATCTAAATCAGGTTCACATTTTACCTGAAGATCTCGATGAGTTCCTCAATAAACCAGACAATACCCCCTTTGATGAAACTATTTCTGATTTGCCCGAACATCAGCCGCTGGGCGAACACCAGGATACTATTATAAATAATGACGATGCTATTCAAATAACCGATTTGGACAAGCAGTCATATGATGATGAAAAAGAACTGGCATCCCCATTGGAACCCGAAAAAGAGTTATCAGAGGTGTTGACTGGAGGTGAGGAATGTGATTTATCAAAGACTCCAGAACCTACTCATGAAAACTTGCTGGGACAGGAATTCTGCGGCGTCCTAGAACCCTCCAAAGCTTCAGAGACCGAAGCATTGCCACGAGATGTCGAACTGATATCTCCCGAACCTAGCAGCAAACTTTCTGAATCCTCTCACGAGAACTATGAATCAAAGTCTCCATTACCCGGCGCAATCGAAGTTCCAGATTTATTGCAATCACAACCTGAGAGTTTACCACGGGACGTTGAACTGATATCACCAGAGCTAAAGTCCTCAAGACCAGGTTCATCCCTAACACATGAAGAATCATCAAAATCTCCACAGCCAGAAGGTATAGAAGTAGAAGATCTGTTGAGAGCAGAGTCAAAGTCTCCTGCTCCAGAGGCTACTGAAGTTAATGACTTGTTGGGACAACCTGATAATATACAGTCAAAGTCACCTTTACCAGAAGCAAGTGAGGTAAACGATTTGTTGCAAGAAAGCAAATCGCCTTTACCTGAAAGTGAATCAAAATCACCTGCTCTCGAAATTCCTGAAGCCCCAGAAACAATTATTAGCCCAACAAGCGATCTTCTTGAGACAAAATCTCCTGTCGATGAAAGGTCTGATGCTGAATCACCAGTATGTGAACGCCCAGGATCAAAATCACCTGTTTGCGAGTTGCCCGTGTTAAAATCCCCGGTTTGTGAACTGGAAAATGCTAAATCTCCAGTGTGTGAAAGGCCTATCTCGGAATCTCCAATTTGTCAATTGGGCGGGTCCAATTCCCCAGTTTGTGAACGACCTGTCTCAGAATCGCCAGTTTGTGAAAGGCCTATTTCAGAATCGCCTGTGTGCGATAAACCTACTGCAGAATCACCGATTGGTGAACAGTCCTTTTTACCAATTTGTGAAAGGCCTGTCTCAAAGTCGCCAGTTTGTGAAAGACCTATTTCAGAATCGCCTGTTTGCGAAAGACCTACTGCAGAATCACCGATTGGTGAACAGGTTGTTTCACTAATTTGTGAAAGGCCTATATCAGAATCACCAGTTTGTGAAAGGCCCATCTCAAAATCGCCAGTCTGTGAAAAGCCCGTGTCAGAATCACCAGTTTGTGAAAGGCCCATCTCAGAATCGCCAGTCTGTGAATTACCAGTCTCAAAATCACCAGTTTGTGAAAGGCCAATCTCAGAATCGCCGGTCTGTGAAAGACCAGTGTCAGAATCACCAGTTTGCGAAAGACCTATCTCGGAGTCACCAGTTTATGAAAGACGTATATGGGAAGCGCCAGATTGTGAATATAGAGTAGCTACACCTCCTATTTCTGAATCACCAGTTGTAGAGTTGGAAGTTTCTAAATCTCCAGCTCCAGAACTGGAAACAGCCAAATCACCTATTCTAGAACCAGAACTGGCCAAATCTCCAATTCCAGAACCAGAAGTCGTCAAATCTCCCGAACCGGAACTTGCCAAATCTCCCGAACCAGAACTAGCAAAATCACCTGTTCCAGAACTAGAAATGTCCAAATCTCCCATTCCCGAACCAGAATTGGCTAAATCTCCTATTCCAGAGCCAGAACTAACAAAATCACCTGTTCCAGAATTAGAAGAGTCTAAATCTCCAGTTTGTGAACTGCCACTTTTGAGGTCACCAGTTCCACAATCGGAAACACTTGCGCCTCTTCTATGCGACATTTCTGCATCAAAATCACCAGAACTACTAGACTCAAAACATGTCGATACCCAGGGACCTCTTACACCCGATTATACCAAGGAAGAGGAGATTGTGAAGGCCGACACGCATTTCGAATTGATCTGTAAATCACCAGAGGATCTAGGAGACATTACCCCAGATTTCACAAAACCGTATGAGATTGAGAAGGCTCAAGAACATTTCGAGGGAGTATTCAAGCCCAAAGATCTCTTGGAATCCCCTCAGGAGGACGTGACTTCTTCGTTGAAAGACGAAGCTTCCCCAGCCCCATCGCCGTTACCCAGTGAAGTAATCGAGGAAAGTTTCGTGGCTGGCCAAGCATTGGAAGTTGGTGCTATGCAAAATGTTTCAGGTAGGTTTGATAGTTTGCTAGTTATTTGGATTACTCGAAAAATATATAAATTGAACTGATGATTGACCGCCATTATAGGAAAACTGAAAGCACAAATAGAAAACCGCAATTGGGAATCTTTATGATGTAATGATATAAGTATTTGACTTAAAATTATATTTTGATAAGTAAGTCTCAACAACTTTTATCAACAATTTTTTTTAATATCTTCCCGTTCAAAAGATGTAAAATAATGAGAGTAAGACACTGGTTTGATCAAGTCTGTTAAAGTTGTTACGATTTCAATTGGAACCCGTGAATCTTAAAGCACAGGACCGTCTCCTGAAAGTTCTTCCTATGTTTTGGCCATTATCTGTCGTAATGTATACTCGAACAGCAATTCGGTGAGTCCGCTTGATGTAGAATCGACAGCGGCGCGTTGGTCATCAAAAGGAAAATAGTCCAAGCATTCTGTCATGGCCTAATGTTAAATTTGCAGAAATTATTACCTGGAGAAATTAATTATTACCGTATAGGAAATTAAATTTTAAATTGAGTTTCTTGTTCTTTAAACTCGATCCAAACCATATTCACCATTATGGTTAAAAAAAATTACAAAGTTGCAAAAAATGGTTTTCCTAAAATAACTAAAAATATATAGCACCTATTGAAAAATTTTAAATGAGAAAGTTGTAGGTTTTAAAAAGATCTATCGACTGATTTTTTGTAAATATTGATTGCTTTGTTACTTTTCGAGATATGTCGATAAAACCGTTAAAAATCTTCTCTTTTCTCTTCTTCTATAACTCGTTTACATTTAGGTTCCCATACTTACTATTTACTGCAAGTATAGCCCGCGGCAAGCTAAAAAAGTACATTTTTGAAAAATTTTAAAATATTAATTATTTTTCGAAATATATTGATTTATTGAAAAAAAGGCTCTTTCGAAAATTGACTAGATCTTCTGCGGATAGCCCTATAGTAACGAAAAAATGACGATTTTATTAATTTTAAGGATCCAAATATGACTAAAAAAAAGTTGCACTGTTTTTGGGTGTTTTTTCCAAATAACTATTTCAATTTTCATTTTATGAAAATGACTTAAAGAAAGAAACTGCTGACATTTTTTCACGAATTTCTTTTTTTATTTTATCTGGGGTAGCTGGACGAGATAAATACAAATATTATAGTCATTTTTGCCTTAGTAGCAAAATAGTCCCTAAATGTTTACTTTTTATTTAATTTACATTTTCGCCATTTTAATAATTAGTAGTATTACAGTACTTTTCGTGTAATACCTTAATTTTTTTGCTTCATTAATCATACTGACATACTTGTTTGCTGGCTTTTTAGCAATTACTTCATTATTTCAATAATTAATTAATTTTGGTGTAAAAAAAGTTTAAAGAATTTAACTTATTTACAAAAATATTTTATACAACTATGTATAAAATATATACAAAATTATTATAATGAACACTAACAAGTATCTTTATATTCTTAAGTTTGTCGAAAGCATCAAGAGAGTCTTGGTCTATTTCGATGTTGGGAGTTTCAAGCGCATCGCTGTAAAATATTAATTTTAAATAATAAAATTAATAATTTAATTAATAAAATTTTTTTTAAATAAAATTTTTTCGGCTCCAGAAGGTCGTAGAAAAATATTTTTTTTAATTCGTGAAGAAATGTCAGCAGTTTCTTTCTTTAAAAGTCATTTTCATAAAATAAAAATTGAAATAGTTATTTGAAAAAAAAACATTTAACATGGGTCCGCAAATCCACCCTACGAGAGGTAGACTCGTTTGAAGACGACTTTAAATGTATGGGTTTTTGCCAATAACTTTTAACTGCTTTGAAGGAGAGGGATAAGCTTTGGGTGATAAGTTACTACTAAAGTGCAAAGAATTATTTTGTATTACAAAAATATCCAGAAATGAACTGAACAATTTTTTTTTTTTGTTAAAAATGTGGTTATACCCCTTCCGATTTGCGCGCCATTGGTTATAACCTGGATCAACTAATACCCTCAAATAATCACGTTTCTTAGTAGTAACTTATCGTCCAAAATTAAACCTCTCCTTCAAAGCAGTTAAGAGTTATTGGCAAAAACCCATTTATTTAAAGTCATCTTCAAACTCGTTTACCTCCCGTAGTGTGGATTTGCGGACCCATGTTTACATGAAATTTTTATCTTATTTTGAGTTGTCAAATCTAATCTCAGAGTGAAGTACCACTATTTCCGAACACCCAATATATGAATGTTTGAAAATAGGAAATAGTGAACAATGTGATAAAGAAATTAGGAAACGGACTAGCGAATTAACTAAGATATTAAAAATGACAATTTATCGCATAATCCAAGAAGCAGAAAACAGAAAAATACAAAATTAAAGAATATTGACGATTTAACCAGAGATGTAATACGGGCACAATTTATAATACGTATAAAGAAAATTCCTACTTTAAACATGATTCGAGATAAATTAAATGACTGCCCTGATTATAATTATAAATCTTTAGATATTTTTATGACATGTTTTATAACAATGCGTTTTTAAGCATAAAAAACTTGACAATTGTATGGTAATTATGGAATCAGTTGCACTTCGGGAAGATTATTTACAAAAAATTAGAGAATATTGTCAACTAAATAGGAATATAGCTCAGAATATGGTATATCTAGAAGAAACAGGGCAAAATTTTTCTGGATGTCTATGGATTTCGTAGAATTTATGAGTTAAATGTTTTTATGCGGTTTCAATTGAAATTGTACCAATTATACTGATTTTATCAGTGTTGCCACGGAGACCCAAAGACTTCCAATGTTTGTATTCGTTATTGACATAAATCGTTTGTCTATATAAAGCCATACCATCAATTTCGAATTTTCAGGAGATACACCTAAAATCAGAATATCTTCTTTTCCATTGAGTTTTCATTTTTTGTAAATGTAAAATTTACACAAAAATTTGAAAATTGATTCTGTTTTCTGAGTTTTTTTACCAAGATAATGTTGGTAAAATCGGTACAGACTTGATCCGCTTGTGTTTAATTTCTGTATACATATCATCATATCCTTTGAAGACAAAGACAAAAAAGAGTTTTTTTCACATGTAAAAAAATATCTTTGACGTAGGGAAAAATAATCTGTGACGTGAGAGCCTCTTGGGCAGTAACACTATCAAAAATGAATTTTAAATCACCATAAAGATCGCTGCTTGCGATTTCCTATTTACTCTTTCAGTTTCTCCTGCAATGGCGGCCAACCATGATTTCCGACCCTATGCATTGATTAATTCCTTTTCTGTAGACGTTGTAGAAGAATCCATTATAGAAGCAGCCTCGCCAGTACCAGAACTCGAAACCTGTCCCATCATGTCTCCGAAGTCCGCTGCCGATACGGAATCGGTGGTCACATCGGAAGTCAATTCCTTGCTCGAGAAATCGTTGCCACCGGAGATAGCTTCATCAATTAGTCCTACACAAGACATCGAGGAAAAGCAGCGTTTCGTGCCCGACGTGTTGGATTTAAATCGCCCTCCTAGCCCGACCATCCAGAGCCTCTCTGCACAGGCAGGAGAGGAAATCGACATTAAGACTGAGAACATAACTCCCGAATTCGCAGTACAGGTGAGAAGTTTGTTATTGATTTGTAATAAAATATTATTTATTTATTTACAAGCCAGAGCCTACTTTTTAAAAAATAAAATTACAATTAATTAAAACGATTAAAAGATACGAAATGACATTTGGAAGGATTAACATGTATACTGTTTCTGTCATCCCAACATGATGGATTATTTTGATGTCATGTTCAATTTTACCAAAGTCAGAAGTATCAGATATAATTGTAAATAATTTCAAATTCGTTTGCAAATGGTAAAATTTTACTATGGGCGATGCCCTGGTTGATATTATTTAAAGGATATTGAAACACAGTAGCTGAAAGCGATAGTCTTGAGGAGCAGCTGATACTGCTGCAAATTGTTTGATATAAAATTGCCAAATCTAATCATCTGATGTCTATCTGTAAATTTTTATCCAATCCAAAAGGAGGACATAAACTCTAAACATACGAAGTTTATGGATTAAAACATTGTTTGACTCTATCAAAGACCTTGAAAAAAAATCTGTGGATTATGTAGAACCTACTTAAAAGCCCAGCCTCCAGAACACTTGTAAACTGATTGTAAGCTAACAATTTTAGATATACCTAAATCCATATCAATCTCAGTGGCGGCTCGGCAGGTAACACAAGTGACGCACCGCTTCACCAAAAATTTCCATTTGGTTGTGCAATTTAAAATTATTTTTAATTTTATATAAATTTTATAATTTTTCCATCAACTTTGTACCATACAACGTATAATATAAGCAAGTGACGTGGATCGAAATCAATCTGTATTCCGCTTCTCTTCGTAGCGTTGTTTACAGCGGTTGTCATGGCAACGGGACTGCCAACAAGGACGGAGGAAAAGGTGACGTGGAAATTGAAGCAGCATTGTCATCGCCCATCGCGGCATCGCCTGGCTTGAACCCTTTTACTACTCCAGACGTATTTATTCGCTAAAAGTTTATAGGGCTCAAACTGCTCCAGACGGATTAATTCGCTTGAATAGTTAAATAGGATCAGGCTGCTCAAACCGTATAGATTCGCAACCTTGCGCATTAGTGACTCGGTTGCAATTGGTATGGGGAATTTTTGCGGGCGGAGCTTATTGCGACAAATATTTTTATGGAAGGAGGTACTGGTAATAATGCCAATATTGTTCATCTCTCTTTCAGTTTCTATGTAGTACAGCTGTCGATATACTGTATTTTATTTAAAATAAAATCATAAAATTTATCGTAAATCGTAATTTAACACAACATAATGGAAAACTATAAGTGGTCTAACTACTCCAGACGTATATATTTGCACGCGATAAACTTTCGTAGCTACGTTCAGACGTATTGCGCAGCAAAAGGGTTAAACAGCTTATACGATACGTGTCGCCCAGTGCACAATTATAACAGTTCTTTGTTAATATTTGTTTTGTATGATAATTTTAGAAATGTTTCCTATGTATGATCCAGTATGAATTTTATTGGAAATGCCATTTTCCAGTTGGAAAATTAAGGACAAAAAGGATTTTTTAAATTGCGAGAGACCTGTGCTTTATTCTCTCGATATGGAAAAAAGAGGAAGTCAAGAGACAATGTGTACGTTCGGAAGTTTCGGAATGAATGGTATCCGGAGTATAAGCGGTTATGTGGAAGTGTTTATTTAAAAAAACTTTTCTGTGTGCCATTTTTAATTGTGGGTGTAAAGTTGGGCGTGTGGAATAAGGAGGGATTTAACAATTTTGGGAACGTCACGCGAGGCTGTCGTAACCTCGAAGCTTCTTTGTAACATACTTATACGGTGTGCGTTAATGTTTGCAGAAGTCCACAAGCCGAACTAATATTTCTATTTTTTATAAAATGTAAATGAAAATCCTTCTCGTGAACGTCAATTTTTCCATATTTATTTAAGTCTTTAAGGACCTTGAAAATTTGAAAATTTTCGCCTGCGGTGCAATTTTTTCTATTTAGTCAATCGTTAAATATGCTTCACCTATTCTCAATGTCATGAGTCGCCACTGATTGATCTATAAGGGAATTGGATAGATTAGAGTAAAAAAATACAAACAAAACTCTCAAATGGTTTTGGAATAACACTAAGGATGCTCAAGGACTATAATTGAGGAGCAGAAGTAACAAAGGGGCCAAGTGCCGAAATCGTTAGAGATATTTAAAAAAAAAACTCAAACCAAAATAACAAACATTTTATTTTAAAACTAGCGGACCCGATGGTCGTCCTGTTCAAATGTTAAATTAATTAAAAAAACATCTATCGAATCAAATTGTGAATCTAAACCATTCTTGAATCTACTTGAACACACACAAAAAATTTTATCAAAATCAGTCCGTACCATTTAGGAGGAGTTCAGTGACATACACACGATCTGAAGAATTATATATTTAAAGATAATAAACTAAAATATCATTTGCCCTACAGCTAAATAAGCTATGGTTTTATTTGGTTAAATTAGTGTAAAATTCTTGGTGTTTATGACTTTTTAGATTAAAAGTTTAAGGTTTTCAAAAGAATACGTTACGACTCTTCTACTTGAGATAGCAACACCACGAGCACCTCCACGAGAATAATTATCAGTAACCATCTTTCTTGTGTATGTTTAAATTTTGTAAGCCCATTTTATCATTATGAAATTCACTTTTTAGCCAAGATTAGACTACTTAATTTTGTGTGTTGTTCACAAAACATTTTGGTAATGGAAGGAACTGGGATTTTCATTATCATTAGAAATAAATAGTTGATTTAAAGTTGGTTTTTTAGAATTTGCAGGGACCGTTTAACATATTTAATGTAGAGGCATTCTTCAGTGTTAGAATGCGTATCATTTAGTTCCTTTCTAAGTTTTATAAATGTTGGACTTGGGAAGTTAAGTATCACAGAAGCCTCTTTGGGAAAATACTAACTTTAAAGCTCTAGCTCCGTTTTTATTTCCTTTTCCAATCCGTGTACAACCTTCAACATTATGAAATATTTTTGTAACTGCAACTAAATCAGACTCAATAGCGAATCTTTCTTGTATATCCATTCTATTCTTCATCTTAATTTGATTGTCGCTAAATACTGGTTTAACATTAATTGTAACTTTATTCTATCAACATCAGTTCTCATATCATATTTTTTTTTATTATTGTTGAAAGTTATAATTTACAACCATTTAGGAATTCATCACAGGTTAAGATTTAATCTACTTTTACCTTTAACTCCCATTATTTTATTGGAGGCAGTTAAATCTGAACAATCACTGTCCTTCTGATTCTCACAGCTATCGCAAAGGACGGGGACTTTATTTAGAATTTGGCATTTCAAGCATTGTAATGGGCTATTTATTCAAAGAAAAATTATTAAAGCCTGACCTGTTTCCTGTATATTTATAAACACTATCAATGGTTTTTTTACTGATAATGTTTTTGTGAAATTATCAGCAAAAAGATAGGTTCTAGAAATACGAGTTAAAGTGAACGTCCAAGTAGTGCTAAATTATAAGATTTTTAAAATGTTTATCAGGAGAATACCGGCAGGATCTAATCTACTGCACTTCAGTACCTCAGTTGTAAAAAAATTGTTATTCATTAAAAAAGAGTTCAAAAATAAAGGATTTACGTAACTGTCAGCAGATCTCTTTTCAAAATACTGTAAATTGCTTTAATTTCATTGTATCTTTATTATCGAGTTGTGTAATAACCTGTGTTTATAATATTTTTATTTTTGCAGACGATTGTGGTGACCCCATCTGAGGAGAGTAAACAAGAAGACGTTCCCTCGGCTCCTCCAGCAGAAGAGCTAGTACCGGAACCCGCAGTCGAAGAACAGAAGAAAGACGCTCTAGCAGTGGGAGTACCTGAGGCTGTCGCTGCTGCTGTAGGAGTTGCCGCAGTTGCGGGAGTTGCAGCTGCCGCGGTACCGGCCGTTGTCAAATCTGAGAAAGAAGAGAAGAAGAAGCCCGCGTCTACAGTAAAGAAAACGACCACTTCAAAGAGTGCAACGACCAAACCGGCAGCAAAGACGTCAACTGTCGCTCCTAAGACGTCGCCTCATTTGAGTGCATCCCCCAGAGTTGCCGCTGCAAAAACAAGGTTAGTATTTTTGTTTTTCCATATTTGGAGATTTATTTTTATTTTGTTTGTTTACTACAATTGGTCTTGCACAAATATTTAAATGTGTGTAAATGTAAGTTTAACATTTGAACAAACTTAATATGTAATTTTTTCATTAGTCAGGTCGATTATTTTTGCTTTCAGGAGAAAATTTATTCGTGATTCATGACACATGTTTATAAAACATACAAAAAATTATTATAGTATACATTTTGTGAATTTTATTTGTGTGACACTGGTCCTGCATTACAGATTAGCAGGTCGCTCTCTGTTAGTATGCGCATAGCATTGCTTTATATTAGTAGGCATTTAGTAACCGTAACCATTTAAGATATTACACACTTTTGTTAAAAAATTATGCTTTAGCTTGAATGTACATATATTTTGCTTTTTAAAATGAATCAACATACAGGGTGTTTGTAAGTAATTGCAAAATATTTTTGGGGTTAGTTGCCGAAGTTATTTTGTGAAACAGAGTTCATATAAATGTAGGTCAAAATATGCTCCGTTTCCGAGATACAGAGTGTTTAAATTTTAATTTTTTATTTATTTTTCTTTTTTTTTTTTTTAAAGATATTGACTCGGGATTGAAAAAACGCTTTGAAGGGATAAATATGCATTTTTTGGGGTGATCCGAATATTTCTACTTACACCAGTGCCAGTGATATCGTGCGGGAATGCCACAAAATTTTTTGATAAAAAACTTGGTGTGTGACTGACTTTTTCCCGTTTTTATATTTTTTTAGAAATCCGCCATCAATTCTGAATGCACCGTTTTCGAGGAAAGAAATAAAACATTTTGTAGATTTTGTTAACCTTTTATTTAAAGGCCTCTTAATAAAGCGTTGTTATGGTCAAAGTAAAAATGCAATTCAACATTGAAAATAAAAAGTTGATATGAATTTGGGTAAAAAATTCTTCGATTTTGAGATACAGGATGTTAAAATTTTAATCTTTTAATTTTTTTCTCTTGAATATTTCAAAAAGTTTTATTATCTAATTACTAAATAATCACCGTTTATTTCCAGTGCTGCAAAATCACCAACTGCCACTCCCAAACCCTCGGCCACAAGGCTTTCCCCAAGGCCTAAACCGTCCACCACAGCAGCCCCCAAATCCACGGAAAAGAAACCTCTAACCAACGGAGACGTAAAACCCACCGGTAGGTCCTCGCTAACCTCTAGGAAGGTCACTTCAGAAACAACGACCACCGCCGCAAAGCCTAGGACGTCCACTGGCACCACCAGATCCAGTCTCACTAAGCCTGCACCACCAAAGCCCACAACGGCAAGGCCTACATCGGCGACGAAGACAACGACCACAACAAGGACTACGACTACCACAGGCGCAACCAGTGCTGCTCCACCCAAGCCCAGGCCTACGACTTTGTCACACAGAACCGCCACTACTACCAGCACCGCAGCAAAGACTCTTTCTGCAACAAAGGTAGGAAAAGAAAAATAAGTCAAACGTTCATAAATCTCATATAAAACTGTCAATTTAAGTTATAACATTTATAAAGTGAAAGTCGGATATAACATTCGCAGGGAGACCGATAAAATGTAAAAATATCTTTTAACTTTCACATCATAAATTTTTTTTTCTAAAATTCCGTGGTGAAACTACATACCATGCCACTGATTACTATCTCAAACAACCATGCTTGCTATCCACCAGCGCATACCCATTTGGAAGTTACATTGCATGCATCACTGTCAAATATTTTTTTGTTTTTTTGATTCGTATATACTTTTTTCATATCACATAAATTGTACGAAGACACAAACACACAATATAAAAAAACTAATATTTTGCGCAGAAATTAAACATGATATAATGAAGTGGCGACATATTTGCTCATTCTCGTTTTGCCAAATTCAAATTACCTGTTTGTTTTTTGCTCGCTTAGAGCTTTATCGTCATATCACATCAGTTGGATTGATATTATGTAGTTCATCTAAATTAGGTTAATGTCGGAATTCACTGACACTCAGATTCACAATCTAAACACAGTGCTTTAGAAAAATAGTAAATACTTTTTATTGAAAATTTGAAATGATTAGTAAGTATTTTTTATCATGAACATTTAAAACATAAAATGGCTAAATGAATATGACTATTCGCACAATATTAGATAATATTTAATAAATTATGCAAAAAATATAAATTTTGTTAAATAACACCAAAAATATATCTTTAGGCGTAACGCCACTCTAAAGTTTTGAAAAAAAAGGTAATATTTGGAAATTTTCAAGGAAAAATCGATCGTTGGGAACAAAAAGGCTTTATTGTACATGTTTCCAGGTAGTATTGTGAATATTTTCAAATGGTTCGTTTGTAGGTGATGGCAAGTAATGACACTTCTTTTTCCGAAAGCTGTATAGCCGGAAAGGTTTCTTATTAGGGGGGGGGGGGGAACCACATCAAAAGGATGATTTTCAGGTGTCTGATAGAATTTGATATAACTTGATTTAGTTTTGTCTGTAGGTTTCCGTGGCTGTCATTAATGGTTGAATGATTTCCGGGCTGGTTGCCACATCGTCGATTTACAACTCTTGATGTTTCGAGAGACATTTTCTTCAGAAGTTACTCTGAAACTTTGACATTATTCATTGTTTTATCAATATTTTCAACTACATTCACAAATTTTCATGTTAACGCGAAATGTGGAGGTCGCAATTTTGTTCTGAAGTTAAATTGGTTGTTTTCCTCAATTATTAATATGTTTTCTAAGAATATGAACCTCATTGCAGGTAAAAAATGTGAAAACTGAAGTTTTGAATTGTATAAAAAATGTTTAAATTTTCACCATTTTTTTTCACTTATTTTGAATAAGAAACGTCCTTAAAATTATAATATCCCAACTGTTGCTTCCTGTTCATTGTAATTTGATCACACTTAATTATTTTCATAATGGATCGGTTCACAACTTTTTGAGCTAGAGTTCCCGTGAATCAAAAAAATGCCATTTCGAGAAAAACTCCTTTGAAGATTTCCGATCAATCAGCAATTCCAGCACCATATAACAGTCATTCTTCTTCCTCATAGGCATCATTCTGAGCTGTCTGACCTTACATCTGATCTTTTCTTGCTTAGTAAGTGACTAGACTACCTGAACAAGCGCTACGCCTTACCTGCTATGAGTCCGAGCGCTGATGCAATGGGCTTTCGGTTTTGGGCTCAAAATCGGACGAATAGGAATTTTTTTATGAAATTTTTTCAGCATATTTTTGAATAGTTATGCAATAAAAAAATCCAATTTTTTTAACCTTCTAATGTAGTTTCCCTCCTTAAGAAATGGTCTTGAAACAAGTAAACAAAAATTTTCTGATATTATATATCAAAAGCTTAGGGAACGTCTTGTGGAAAATAAAAAATAGTAATAATTGTTGATTTAGTAAACAGTCAAAAGAAAAGTATTAAAAAAAGTCGAAAAATTTTGCATTAAATTATTAATAAAAATGAAAACTGTTCATCAATGGAAACACCCTCTGAATTATGTTATTGTGAGGCTATGTACAAAATTTCAAGTCGATTAGTTGAAAACTTTTTGAGTTATGTTTCCTGCGAATTGAAAAGTGGTTTCGTTATATGAATACCTTCAGTCAGTGATGCTTGCACCATATAATATTGATATTTTCTTCATCCTCTTCTATTCGGCTTTATCTGGCACTCAATCTTACTTCTATAATAGTTAACTATCGGGCGCATTCTCACGAGTTACATTAAGCATTCCTGCAGTGTGTCGCAAATGGTTGCGTTCCACCTCGAATGAGTTTTTACCCCACCCAAAACTTCCTTTATTCTTCACATAAGAATTCACATAATAAAGCATTGTTTAACCCATTAATCCAAAGATCAAATTTTTCAAAATTCTAGAGTGGCTTTACACCTTAAACCAAAAATTAGCCCCAATTATATAAAATAACAATCAATGTCAATATTCAGTGTTACTTAATGAACGTTTTGTTTTCAGACTCCCCCTGCTAAGACGTCCCCGAAGACGGCCACGGCCCCCAAGCCGAGGCCCCCAACCACTACAACGGTGCTCAAACAGAGGGTACCACTGACTAAGACTGTCACCAAGGCCGCTGATACCGAGAAACAGAACAAAGAGAGTGCCAACAAACTGACTGCTTCCAGGACTGTGACCAGCACCACCAGGACTGCCTCTGCCACAGCAAGGAGCACAACTACTACACTCCGCAAGGTTGAAAGCAAGGTGAGGGACCAATGAAAGTAATTTTAATGATTAATTATAAAGGGAATCTTGAAAAAATTGTAACTATTGCAAAATTTTTCGAAAGGGAAAGAAACTGAGCTTAAACTTTTGGATATATTTGAACACACTGTCTTTTAACTAACGAATGCCCGGTTCCACGTCATCGCAGGTGTTAGGCCACCAAACTTACACTGGAGACGACACAAAATTCACTAAAAACAGAATAGTCCAGTTAGTTTGTGGTTGTTATTTGTTTTCCAAAATTTTGTAACTATCGCGCAAAAAAAAACAAACATTTCAAAAAGATTTTTCTCGCATATTGTACACTCTAGCCACATAGCTCTTCAATCTCTGAAGTTTTTGATTTTGATTTAAAGAATACCAAAAATTCGAAGATAAAAAATATAGTAGGCTCTATAGCAAATAGGCAACCAGCAGTACATTTTTATAGATTTTATTACACAGTTTGCCTAACTATGAAATAATGCACAAATAACAGACTTTCCCCCATTGTAACGCAGACTTTTTATAAAATGGACTTGATTTGAAACTCAAATTACTTTTTATCGTAAAGAAATGTTTAATTTAAGATCCCGCTTGTTCAGAATCGGCAAATTACAAATTTCTTTGCAACAAAAAGCAATTTGACTTCCAAGCTAACTCCATTTTATAGAAAATCTGTGTTAGAATGGAGGAAAGTCTGTTATTTGTGCATTAATTCATACTAGAATGGTCGGCAAACTCCGCCAACGCGGACATGACCTTTCTCTCTGGCCTTCGGCCCTTGGGCCGCGCTGCGTGGTGCTTTCCTCTATGATTAGTAAATATAAAATTTTTTGAAACACCCTGTACTTTAGTTTTTAAACACCCTCTATATAAAAGTCATCAACATCGTAACTTCATAATTATCTCTGGACCGTTCGAAGTTTAATGCAATATTTTTGGACATCCTGTGTATAAAAACCTATTTGAAAAGTTATATATTTTTCTTATGGAAAGATTTAAAAAGAAAAATCCATAATGAAAGTAAAATACAGCAATAAGTAAAAAAAAAATTCTGAGATTCGAGCCGTCGACCATTGGGTTGCAACGCGACACTTTGCTCATTGCCTATATACAGACTTTGTCTGTATTGGTATTTGAAGTCCTGTTCATAGCCGAAATAAACAAAAATTTTCGTAATGTTAAAAATTGCATTTTTTCTGTCATAAAATCGTCCGCGAAGGATTCGGAATGGTATAAAACATTAAAATATTCGCTCATCGCCTTACTGGAGCCATGGGGAACGGCAGGATTCTGATGTTTCTATCGCGGTGACAGTTTGTGTCAAAATATTCTTAATCTCGTCTTAAATTTTGTTACATTTGACCTAAGAAAAGTTGAGGGTGATATAGATGAGAGAGAACGATGCGACGCGACACAGGAAAAGCGTCCCGGTAGCGGAAAGGGGACGTCGTCAGGTCGCGGGAGTGGCCCGTACACAAAGAGAAAAATTCTGGCTTCCTCTCAGAACAAAGCGCGGGTGCCGGGAGAATCCATAAAGAAAAATATGACTTCGCGAAAATTGCACTTTGGACGAAACAATCCGGGCTTTACAAAAATATTGGGGTTCCGCGAGAAAGAAACTTTTTAAAAAGCAAATTTCGGCATTGAAAACACACTGCAAAAATAGCCTAAGCTACAAAGAAAGGACAAAACTCGCGCGTAAAAGCTGAGTGAGCCCTTGATGTGTCCTCGGAAAAAAGCCTATAGTATTTTAAATCGACCCTCAAAACATCCATCGGTAAGCGTTCCCTCCGGGTTCTGTCACTCGTCAGCGAAAATTTGCCGTTTTCATCAAGGAGCCCCGGGAAAACAAAAATTTACCTAGAAAAACGTGGAAAAGCTCTCCGAAATACCCCCAACTGACAAAGGAGGGACGTTGGTTTGAAACTCAAATTACTTTTTAGTGCAAAGAAATTTGGAATTTATGATGCCGCTTGTTCAATAGTGGCAAATTACAAATTTCTTTACAACAAAAAGTAATTTGAGATTCAAACTAACTCCATTTTATAGAAAATCTGCGTTAGAATGGAGGAAAGTCTGTTATTTGTGCATTAATTAATATTTAGACAAACTGTATAATAAAATCTAGAGAAATGTATTGCTGGTTGCCTATTTGCTATAGAACCCTCTTAAAAATATCAGTTATCCCTCCCAAATGTGGCGCCTGTGCTTGTTTGATAAATAAATAATAAATAAACAGCGATCTGAACAATTAAAAAAATACAATGTCATTTATGTCAAATCAATATGAAATCGTCCGTAGAATTTGCTGTCTTAGGTTGTGGTTTTAGTTTAGGTTATATAATATTTTCTTGAGAGGAAAAGGTGAAGCGAATCTTAACTTGTCCCGTGTTGCAGGTTTCAGCCACACGAACATCGAAAACGACCACGACCACTATGAAATCGACCACAGCCAAGAAACCCACCGAGCTAGTAAGGAACGTTACGAGCAAGACAAGGACCACAAAAGTGGAAAAGCCGAAGCAGAACGGCGTGGCCACCCTCGTGACCGAGGAGATCACCGTCGCCACAGTCGTGAACAACACGATCGAGGGCAGCGAACCGCAGCTGCTCAAGGACAATTCCCCGATGGACAACAAGCTGATAATGGAGAGCGCGCTCATCCAGACCAACACCGCAGACTGAAGGAGAGTAAGCACCCACTAACGACCTATCATGATTATATTATTTAGCATTATATTACGAAATAACTGTTATATTTAAAAAAAATTTTTATATCTTTATGCCCCTTAACTACTACTATGTGTGTATAGAGCTGTGGTAATATTTAGTAACGAGTATATCTAAGTGGTGTGGATATAAGAAAGACTTATGCTGTATTAAAATATATTTAAGGTTAATTTATATACGGTAAATACTTGGATTGACGATGTAGCTGTCGATCAAAAAAAATTTTTGTATGTATACCCTAAGTTTAGCTTTTACTGCTTAGGTGTGCTGAGATGTGATTGCTATGCACTCTTCTGTATATATTTATATATTTAAAGTTTANAACCTACAGAATGCACATCCCACAGAACAGAATTTTCTTCGTACAGAGTTATTAACATTTGTATTTCCGTATTTGTCCAAACCTTCTTGTTCTCCGCCATGTTGAACTCGCACTGTTCACTCGCCAAATATCGAAACAAACTGGAAGTATTGTAATAAATTGCGCAAACACAGTTATACCTATTTAGACTTGCAAGTTAGAATGTTGCGTGAGTTCTTGTGCGAATTCAATAATATCAACTCACCGCGCTGTTTAGACTAATGACAGCAGTGTCTGACAGAACTCACGCTTGTTTTCTCCCTAGTCTACAGGCCCCATAAGACTCATGTTTTGATGAAGCAACCGTGTCCATCGGCCTTGGGCAAGTGGTAAATTCTTGAGTGTCTGGGTACAAGAATTACCAAAACTTTTCATTTGGTCGCTGAAATCAATTCATCTTTTTTTATTGATGCGAGCACTGCTTTTTCTAGATTTTTGTGCTCTTGGTAAAATTTTGTAGCGTTAATAGTATTTATGCAAAAAATATCTTCAATTTTAGAAAATCATTATCACTATTACTCAAGTACAACAACTACTCGCTACAATAACTATTATCGTAGTAAGCGATGATGTCATTTTATAATAAATGAATTGTCAATCTTTTGACGTTGGTCAGCAGTCCCACACATTCGTTTCGAATAGCGTTTTCTAATCAAGAACTTTGACAGTCGATAGCAGAGGAGCCAGACATTTTTTCTTAATGGAAGTTAGGTCAGATCGTCTTCTTTTGCACCAAAGAATGTCGCAGTACCTTCTTCATCATGTGCTTATGGGAACCCTGTATATATGTTTCATAATATCACAGACATTCTACAATGAAGACACAAGCAGTATGGAAAAGCTAATACTGTGCACAAAAACCACGCAGTTACCTACCGTGTTATAACAAACACCTTCTCATTAACCAATAAACTAAAATAAATGAGATATAATGAAGTGACGACATATTTGGCCATTCTCGTTTTGCCAAATTAAAATTAACCCTGTTTTTTGCTTGCTTAGAGCTTGCTTTATTGTCATATCACATCAGTTAGATTGATATTATGTAGTTCACCTAAATTAGGTTAATATCGGTGTTCACTGAAACTCAGCTTCGCAAACTAAACACAGTGCTTTAGAAAAATAGTCAATACTTTTTATTGAAAATTTGAAATGATTAGTATTTTTTTTGCCATGAACATTTAAAACATAAATTATTTGTACTTAATTAGGCACATATGACTATTCGTACAATATTAGTTAATATTTAATAAATTATGCAAAAAATATTAATTTTGTTAAATAACACCAAAAAATATCTTAAGGCGTAATGCCACTCTAGAGTTTTGAAAAAAAGGTTATTTTTGGGAATTTTCCAGGTAGTATTGTGAATTTTTTCAAATGGTTTGTTTGTAGGTGATGGCAAGTAATGACACTTTTTTTTTCGAAAGCTGTTTTGCCGGAAAGGTTTCTTATTAAGGGGGGAAACCACATTAGAAGGTTGATTTTCAGGTGTTTTGAGGTGATTTTGTTCTGAAATTAAATTGGTTGTTTTCCTCCATTATTAATATGTTTTCTAAGAATATGAACCTCATTGCAGGTAAAAATTGTGAAAACTGAAGTTTTGATTAGTATAAAAAATGTTTCGATTTTCACCATTTTTTTTTCACTTATTTTAAATAAAAATCGTCCTTCCCGTTTTTCGTATTTTCATTACACTTCGGTTCATAACTTTTTGAGCTAGAGTTCCCATGAATCAAAAAATGCCATTTCGAGTAAAACACATTTGAAGATTTCCGATCAATCAGCAATTCCAGCACCATATAATGGTCATCAATAGCCCTTCTTATTCCTCATAGGCATCATTCTGAGCCATTTACTTTACATCTGCTCTTTTCTTGCTTAATAAATGACTAGACTACCTGAACAAGCGCTCTGCCCTACCTGCTATGCGTCCGAGCGTTGATCCGATGGGCGTTTGGTTTTAGGCTCATAAAATCATAATGAATGGTATTTTTTTATGAAATTTTTTCAGCTTATTCTTGAATAGTTATACTAGCAGTTTATGCAATAAAAAAATCAATTTTTTTTTTAGCCTAATGTAGCTTCCCCCCTTAAGGAATGGTCTTGAAACAAAAAAACAAAAATTTTCTGATATTACATACCAAAAGATTAGGAAATGTCTTGTAGAAAATAAAAAATATTAATAATTGTTGATTTAGTGAACATTCAAAAAATTATTCATTAAACTGTTAATAACAGTGAAAATTATTCAATTGAAACACCCCTTTACAAAATTTCCAAAAAAAAATTAGTTGAACACTTTTTGAGTTGTTTCCTGCCGATTGAAAAGTGTTTTCTCGAAAAATGCTTTTAAAGATTTTATTGTCATTCAGCATAAGAAATTCGTTATATGTATACCTACCGCCAGCGATCATCCTCTTCTTTTCAGCTTTATCTGGCACTCAGTCTGACTTCTGTAATAGCTAACTAGCTAACTGTCAGGCGCGTACTCACAAGTTCCTGCAGTGCGCCGCGAATGGTTGAGTTCCACCTTGAAAAAACTTGTGTTCCTGACTTTTTTCTCCATCTAAAACTTTTTCCTTTATTCTTCTCATAAGAATTCACGTAATAAATAAAGCATTGTTTAACCCATTAATCCAAAAATCAAAATTTTGAAAATTCTAGAGTGACTTTACACCTTAAACCAAAAATAAGCCCAATTGGTAAATAATAAATAAATAAAAGAATCAATATCAATATTCAGTGTTGCTTAATGAACGTTTTGTTTTCAGACTCCCCCTGCTAAGACGTCCCCGAAGACGGCCACGGCTCCCAAGCCGAGGCCCCCAACCACTACAACGGTGCTCAAACAGAGGGTACCACTGACCAAGACTGTCACCAAGGCCGCTGATACCGAGAAACAGAACAAAGAGAGTGCCAACAAACTGACTGCTTCCAGGACTGTGACCAGCACCACCAGGACTGCCTCTGCCACAGCAAGGAGCACAACTACTACACTCCGCAAGGTTGAAAGCAAGGTGAGGGACCAATGAAAGTAATTTTAATGATTAATTATAAAGGGAATCTTGAAAAAATTGTAACTATTGCAAAATTTTTCGAAAGGGAAAGAAACTGAGCTTCTTAAACTTTTGGGTATATTTTTACACACACTGTCTTATAAAGAATGCCCGGTTCCACGTCATCGCAAGCGTTAGGCCACCAAGCTTACACTGGAGACGACACAAAACTAAAAACAGAAAAGTCCAGTTAGTGGTTGTTGTTATTTGTTTTCCAAAATTTTGTAACTATCGTGCAAAAAAACAAACATTTCAAAAAAGATTTTTCTCGCATATTGTACACCACATGCCTCTTCAATCTCTGAAGTTTTTGATTTTGATTTAAAAATTACCAAAAATTCAAAGAAAAAAATATAGAAGCAAATAGGCAACCAGCAGTACATTTTTATAGATTTTATTATACAGTTTGTCTAACTATGAAATAATGCACAAATAACAGACTTTCCCCCATTGTAACGCAGACTTTTTATAAAATGGACTTGGTTTGAAACTCAAATTACTTTTTATCGTAAAGAAATTTGTAATTTAAGATCCTGCTTATTCAGAATCGGCAAATTACAAATTTCTTTACAACAAAAAGCAATTTGACTTCCAAACTAACTCCATTTTATAGAAAATCTGCGTTAGAATGGAGGAAAGTCTGTTATTTGTACATTAATTCATACTAGAATGGTTGGCAAACTCCGCTGACCTTTCTCTCTGGCTTTCGGCCCTTGGGCCGCGCTGTGCGGTGCTTTCCTCTCCGATTAGTAAATATAAAATTTTTTGAAATACCCTGTACTTTAGTTTTTAAACACCCTCTATATAAAAGTCATCAACATCGTAACTTCATAATTATCTCTGGACCGTTTGAAGTTTTACGCAATATTTTTGGACATCATCCTTTGTATAAAAATTTATTTGAAAAGTTATATATTTTTCTTATGGAAAGATTTAAAAAGAAAACTCCATAATGAAAGTAAAATACGGCAATAAGTAAAAAAAAAATTCTCAGAGATTCGAACCGTCGACCTCCAGGTTGCAACGCGACACTTTTACCTCTAAGTCATCATTGTCTCTATACAGACTTTGGCTGTATTGGTGTTTGAAGTCCTGTTCATAGCCGAAGTAAACAAACATTTTCGTAATGTTAAAAATTGCATTTTTCTGTCATAAAATCGTCCGCAAAGGATTCGGAATGGTATAAAACATTAAAATATTTGCTCATTGCCGTACTGGAGCCGCGGGGAACGGCAGAATCGGAAAATATTGACAATTCTGACGTTTCTACCGCAGTGACAGTTTGTGTCAAAATATTCTTAATCTCGTCTTAAATTTTGTTACATTTGACCTAAGAAAAATTGAGGGCGATATAGATGAGAGAGAACAATGCGACGCGACACAGGAAAAGCGTCCCGGTAGCGGAAAGGGGACATCGTTGGGTCGCGGGAGTAGCCCTTACGCAAAGAGAAAAGTTCCGGCTTCCTCGGAACAAAGCGCGGGTGCCGGCAGAATCCATAAAGACTTCGCGAAAATTGCGTTTTGGACGAAACAATCCGGGCTTTAAAAAAATATTGGAGTTCCGCGAGAGAGAACCTTTTTTAAAAGCAAATTTCGGCGTTGAAAACACACTACAAAAATAGCCTAAGCTACAAAGAAAGGACGAAACTCGCGCGTAAAAGCTGAGTGAGCCCTTGATTGGTCCTCGGAAAAAAGCCTTTAGTATTTTAAATCGACCCTCAAAACGTCCGTCGGTGAGCGTTCCTGTCGGGTTTTGTCACTCGTCAGCGAAAATTTGCCGTTTTCATCAAGGAGCCCCGGGAAAACAAAAATTTACCTAGAAAAACGTGGGACGTTGATTTGATACTCAAATTACTTTTTAGTGTAAAGAAATTTAGAATTTACGATGCCGCTTGTTTAACAGTGGCAAATTACAAATTTCTTTACAACAAAAAGTAATTTGAGATTCGAACTAAGTCCATTTTATAGAAAATCTGCGTTAGAATGGAGGAAAGTCTGTTATTTGTGCATTAATTCATATTTAGGCAAACTGTATAATAAAATCTAGAGAAATGTATTGCTGGTTGCCTATTTGCTATAGAACCCTCTTAAAAATATCAGTTATCCCTCCCAAATGTGGCGCCTATGCTTGTTTAATAAATAAATAATAAATAAACGGCGATCTGAACAATTAAAAAAATACAATGTCATTTATGTCAAATCAATATGAAATCGTCCGTAGAATTTGCTGTCTTAGGTTGTGGTTTTAGTTTAGGTTATATAATATTTTCTTGAGAGGAAAAGGTGAAGCGAATCTTAACTTGTCCCGTGTTGCAGGTTTCAGCCACACGAACATCGAAAACGACCACGACCACTATGAAATCGACCACAGCCAAGAAACCCACCGAGCTAGTAAGGAACGTTACGAGCAAGACAAGGACCACAAAAGTGGAAAAGCCGAAGCAGAACGGCGTGGCCACCCTCGTGACCGAGGAGATCACCGTCGCCACAGTCGTGAACAACACGATCGAGGGCAGCGAACCGCAGCTGCTCAAGGACAATTCCCCGATGGACAACAAGCTGATAATGGAGAGCGCGCTCATCCAGACCAACACCGCAGACTGAAGGAGAGTAAGCACCCACTAACGACCTATCATGATTATATTATTTAGCATTATATTACGAAATAACTGTTATATTTAAAAAAAATTTTTATATCTTTATGCCCCTTAACTACTACTATGTGTGTATAGAGCTGTGGTAATATTTAGTAACGAGTATATCTAAGTGGTGTGGATATAAGAAAGACTTATGCTGTATTAAAATATATTTAAGGTTAATTTATATACGGTAAATACTTGGATTGACGATGTAGCTGTCGATCAAAAAAAATTTTTGTATGTATACCCTAAGTTTAGCTTTTACTGCTTAGGTGTGCTGAGATGTGATTGCTATGCACTCTTCTGTATATATTTATATATTTAAAGTTTATATTCATAAATTTTATAATCGGGTGCTAAAACTACTGTTGTATTGGCCTTTTAGACGCGACGCGCGAAATTTTTTGGGAGACGATCGGGAAGAGGGTTCCTTTGAGCCGGTCCGTTGTCTTTGATCCAATTTTAATTTTTTTTAAATGTTTTTTAACTTATTTTATCGAACGAGGCAAATTGGAAAAATAAGGATGTATTCTTAACCCTCTATCATTATTATCATTATATCCGTAGTTGCTCTAACTTTTATTTTTTTTACTTAAGATTTGTTTTATGTTGAAATTTTATAAACGTGTTTGTCCTTTTAGTTTGCTATATATTATTTATTATTTGTGAATTATACTACTTTTCAGCACAAAATAATAAAAAAAGTTTCGTAAGGACCAATCGTTTTTTATTTCAACCTTTCCTCTCCGTCACTGTTAACTGTTAGGTTACCAATAGTGATTATTGTAATGAAATACTAATGCAGGGCGATTTTAAATAAAACGAAATAGTAAAAAAGGCAAAAGGTAAGTTTTCAAGAATTTGTGTACGAGCAACCAAATCGTGGTTAGGTCATAGTTGCCTGTACGTATTTGGAAATTATCAATCGAATAGACATCTCTAAAAATTATATAAAAAATTTGAGGTGCCACTGAAAAATTGAATCCCAGCATTCTGAAATAGCTTGGAAATCGATTTTTCTTGATAAGTATTAAATCTGAGAAAATTCCTCCAGACTGTAACGACCCTGGCAATACTAAAGCTGAAGTCAGTTCCTCTCTCGCTCTTCCAGTTTTTGAGATTTTCCATTTTTTTCCACAACAGATACACTGGGACAAAAACTAACCATTCCAGCGTGTTTTAGCCGAAATACGTACGATACCACTTCTAAATCCGAGTTTTAATTTTCGGACAATTTTCATGTAGTTCATCAATTTTTCTCAAAAATTCTAGGACTCCAAAAAATCTGAGAAACATCGCCTAGACCAGCCGTCCGCAACTGGCAGACGACGGTCCAGATCCGGACCGCGGAAGGTAAAATACTGGACCGCCAACAATTTTTATGTATAATTACTCAAATTATTTAAAAATATATATTTTTCTATAAATAAGAATACGTTTGATCATTTTTTAATGGATAGTAGGTTATTAAAAAGAAACTGACTCAAGACCGCAAATGTAATTTTCCCCATTGATTTTTTAATACAAATATGCCTATCGTATTTCATATTATTTTGTGCTGGCAAATTAAAATAAAAAATTAATAAGGAATGTGAGCTTTTTTCTGGACCTCGTTAAATATTTTCAAAAATATCCGGACTCCACTTGCCACACTTGGCCTAGACTATAACGACCTCGGCAATGCTGAAGCTGAAGTCGGATCCTCTAGCTCTTCCGGTTTTCGAAATTATTCATTTTTTCCAAAACAGATACACTGAGACAAAAACTAGCCATTCTAGCGTGTTCAGCATGCTAAAATACATAAAGGGTGTCTTAAAATTAGCTGCCAACCCTGAACACGCCGATTCTATGATCAAAACTAAGTAAAAAAGTTCATATGAACATGGGTCCGGAAATGCTTCCTAAGGGCACAGGGACCCATTGAAGAGGGAGGAATGGAAATCATTTTTTTGCAATATCTCTCAATCGCGTTGTGATAAATGAATGAAATTTGGTATACACAGCTAAATTTTGATGAGCAATTTGATGGACTAATCCATTTATTTCCACAAGGTCCATTGGGGTGGGTACGGGGGGGCCCTTGGTACTTTGCGTGTGTAACTTTTTCATCTTTGACTTTTTAACAAATTGGACAGCAAATTCCGTTTTCCCGAACTGTTTTACGTTAAAAAGGTACTCTTGTTTCAAATCGTTATCTTTAACGGTTTCTGAGAAAATCGCTCTTGAATTAATCCCACTTTGGTCAATTTCATAGTAATTTAAACAAAAAATAATAATAATAATTTTCCTTTCCTCTCTTTTCCATTTAAAGGATTAATTTTTATTTAATTTAATTTTTTATTATTATTTTTTTATTAAAACTAGATTAAATTGAAACAAAATATTTTTTTTTGTTTAAATTACTATGAAATTGACCAAAGTGGGATTAATTCAAGAGCGATTTTCTCAGAAACCGTTAAAGATAACGATTTGAAACAAGAGTACCTTTTTAACGTAAAACAGTTCGGGAAAACGGAATTTGCTGTCCAATTTGTTAAAAAGTCAAAGATGAAAAAGTTACACACGCAAAGTACCAAGGGCCCCCCCGTACCCACCCCAATGGACCTTGTGGAAATAAATGGATTAGTCCATCAAATTGCTCATCAAAATTTAGCTGTGTATACCAAATTTCATTCATTTATCACAACGCGATTGAGAGATATTGCAAAAAAATGATTTCCATTCCTCCCTCTTCAATGGGTCCCTGTGCCCTTAGGAAGCATTTCCGGACCCATGTTCATATGAACTTTTTTACTTAGTTTTGATCATAGAATCGGCCTGTTCAGGGTTGGCAGCTAATTATGAGACACCCTGTATATCACCCCCAAATCCGAGTTTTAATATTCGGACAATTTTCATGGACATTTTCATCGATTTTTCTAAAAAATTCTAAGACTCAAAAATATCTAAGAAAATTCCCCAAGACTATAACAACCCCGACAATGCTAAAGCTGAAGTCCGTTCTTCTCTAGCTCTCCCGATTTCCGAAATTTTTTTTTTTTTCGAAACAGATACACCGAGACTAAAACTGACCATTACATTGTTTTCAGTATGCCAAAATACATACGAAACCGTCTCTAAACCGAGTTTTAATTTTCGAACAATTTTCAGTAATTTTCATGGACATTTTCATCGATTTTTCTAAAAAATTCTAAGACTCAAAAATATCTAAGAAAATTCCCCAAGACTATAACAACCCCGACAATGCTAAAGCTGAAGTCAGTTCTTCTCCAGCTCTCCCGATTTTCGAAACTTTTTATTGTTTTCAAAACAGATACACCGAGACTAAAACATCATTCCATTGTGTTCAGCATGCCAAAATACATACGAAACAGTCTCTAAACCGAGTTTTAATTTTTGAACAATTTTCAGGAATTTTCTAGGACTCAAAAAAATCTGAGAAAATTCCCCAAGACTATAACAACCCTGGAAATGCTAAAGCTGAAGTCCGTTTCTTTCTACCTCTCCTGATTTTCGAAATGTTTTATTTTTTTTCAAAACAGATACGCCGAGACTAAAACTGACCATTCCATTGTGTTCAGTATGCCAAAATACATACGAAACCGTCTCTAAACCGAGTTTTAATTTTTGAACAATTTTCAGGAATTTTCATGGACATTTTCATCGATTTTTCTAAAAAATTCTAGGACTCAAAAAAATTGAGAAAATTCCTCAAGGCTATAACAACCCTGGCAAGTCTAAAACTGAAGTCAGTTCTTCTCCAGCTCTCCCGATTTTCAAAACTTTTTATTGTTTTCAAAACAGATACACCGAGACTAAAACACCATTCCATTGTGTTCAGCATGCCAAAATACATACGAAACCGTCTCTAAACCGAGTTTTAATTTTTGAACAATTTTCAGGAATTTTCTAGGACTCAAAAAAATCTGAGAAAATTCCCCAAGACTATAACAACCCTGGAAATGCTAAAGCTGAAGTCCGTTTCTTTCTACCTCTCCTGATTTTCGAAATGTTTTATTTTTTTTCAAAACAGATACGCCGAGACTAAAACTGACCATTCCATTGTGTTCAGCATGCCAAAATACATACGAAACCGTCTCTAAACCGAGTTTTAATTTTTGAACAATTTTCAGGAATTTTCATGGACTAGTATATCGATTTTTCCAAAAAATTCTAGGACTCAAAAAAATCTGAGAAAATTCCCCAAGGTTATAGCGACCCTGGCGAAGCCAGTTCCTCTCTAGCTTCTCTGGCTTTCAAAAATTTAAATTTTTATTCGCAACAGAAGCACTTGGAGAAAAAAGTACCATGCCTTTGTGTTCAGAAAGCTGAAAAGCAGTCATAGCGCCTTTAAAATGCAACATGTGCATATATTCAGCAAAACGCATTAAAGTACATAATTCAATAAACGACATCAAACCGCATTTTGTGGCAGTTCATGATAAAATTAAAAATAATTGCTGTAATTCTTAAATAAAAAAGGCCAGGAAACAGTTTTTTAACTCTACTTAACAATTTTATAAAATACACGTGGCATTTTCAAGGTGCAACAATATAGGCAGGGGCGTCGCCAGCCAATGGGCTAGGAGGGGAGGGGGGCAAGATAAGAGGGAGGATGAGAGAAATATAGATTGTAGGTAGACATAGATACAGTGAATTATTTTTTTTAGATGTTTTTAATAAAACCTTTTTAATACAAGAAAAACAAAAAAAAGAAATTCAAGGAAAATTACGTAAAACATAATTTTTTCGGATTTTTTGAAAATTTGTCAACCACTTTATTAATAAAATCTTCATGGTTGGTAAAAATAAGGTTTCTTTCATCATTGCTAGGCCATTGAGACAATTTCAACAAATATTTATAATAATTTATTACATTTCTTTTTTAAGAAAATAGTGTATTAATTTTCAAAATTAAAGTTTAAGTAAATAAAATATTTTAATAATTTCCAATCTAATATTTTCTAGTATAAGAAATCGAATTTCTAGGGGAGGGGCAGCTGTCCCCTCCTGCCCCACCTTGGCGACGCCCTTGATATGATATGGACATGGCACATCCTTTCCGAAACATTCGACAGATTTAATAAATTTTGCTCATATATAGTCAACCGTGAATACAATGGTTTGCAAATCTGGTGGACTATATTTGAAACTCCATAGACAACTTACAGTTGCCATTTTATGATTTTCTTTTTTTTTTTGGCAATGTGAAACAGATTTAGAAATTTAAGATAGGTAAGCTATAAGTGCTTGTTATACTAAAAATTATTTAATATACCAGAAAATTGTTAAATATGTATCTCGTGTATAGATGGAGGTAGGAATTGGAATAAATAATTTTTTATTGTTTTACTTTGTAAAACAACAGTCATACACATGGAGTTACATTTAGGTAATATCTAATTTATTCAAATGTTACTTGTAGGTATTTTAATTTAATAATGATCTTATTGTTTTAATTTTACCGAAATTTTATTGTCAACATGAAGGAAATAAAATTACTGTTCTAAACAAATTTAATGGTCACGTGGCTTGCAATCATTTATAAAGGCTCTATAGCAGTCAATTCTAAAAGATATACAAGAGTATAGAGGTGCAACAATATATATGTTGATTCAATAACAATAACAAAAATCATTTTAAAATATTTTCTGTATAATTATTGCTACTTTCAATGAAAATGGTTCTTAAAATGTAATTACATAAAGTGATGTTCATCAAATGTTTTTTTTATTACAAAAAAATCCTCATTACCTGATTAAAAAGGAAAAGAAGGCAGTAAGAATCCTCGAACGGAAGGTGGTAGTCCCAGGATTCACGCTCGGCAAGCTGCGTCTTCGAGACGGCCGTGACGATAAGCGATTTGCATTTCTATTATCACGGGGCACGCGACTTATTCTAGATATTATCTTCCTAGAGCTTCCTCGCGAAAGATAATGGGTGGTCAACCAACCGTTTGCTCAGGGCATTGACAATGTCTAGCTGAAACAAAAAGTGACAATACAAAATTTAAAAAAAGGAAACATTAAAAATACCAATGAAATGAATTTTTGAGTCCTTCATAAAATAAAAAACCTAACCATGACAGATCTTCACTCTAATACTGTTGAAAAATTGGGAAAATTCGTTTTATTATTTTTTTTTGATTACCAATGATTTGATGCTAAAAAAAATACAGGTAAAATTTTTTGCCACGTTACTTTACTTAATGGTAATATCGAAAAAGGTGGCAAACACCCAATTTTTAAGAAAAAAGTTTAATCTGCATTGTAAAATATATCTTAACTGTACCCCTCTACTCTTAGGAAATATTATAATCTATCTGCCACAACCTGCCACCTTGAAAGTTGTACAGTGTGTCCCGAAATTAATGCAACAAAATTTGGTCACATATTCTTAAGACAAAATTAGGGGACCAAGTGGCAACCCCTTGAAATCCGCCCCTAAGAATAATCCATGTTTTATATCTCAGAACCCTGTTGCACGAGAATCACTAAATTTGGTACACAGGGGTTTTATGACATGTGGAATCTGATGGTGCTAAGTTTTTTGGCGAGACAATTTTTCGTGGCAAGAGACAAGAGGTCTTTGGAGCAAAAAAAAATTGGTCGAATATTTAAATTTCTTAAAAATTATTAGTCCGTTAGAAAGCCATTAAATAATTTAGAAACTTTTTTGTCCCTTTATACTTTTTTTCGTAAAACGCAATGTTTTCGGGAAAAAAAATCATCATAAAAAAATTCTTATGATTCTTTTACATACATTATACCTACATGAATTCGACTACATGATAATATAATCATTTATTAATCTATATTTATTTTTCTTTTATCAAATCCACAAATTTTTTTTNGAGTGCGTAATTCTATGAGTGCGTAATTGCATTACACCACGTATTACGTACTATACTTTACCTACGACCACTACTTTAAATACTTAAAAACACACCGTCTGCGATCAATGCAAGATTCCTATTACGTCGTACGGTAAAAAAATCGCACAGCTTGGTAAAAAAATCGTACAGTTTTCCTAGCAACCGCCTAGCAACGGTCAATACAAACAGTATTGTATTGGCCGTTGCTAGGCAGTTGCTAGGAAAACTGTGCGATTTTTTTACCGTGCGTAATAGGAATCTTACATCGATCGCAGACAGTGTGTTTTTAAGTATTTACAGTAGTGGTCGTAGGTAAATTTGTTTTATAGGTTCTTATTTTAATTTTATCTTTATGTTTTTATCGCAGCTCGAAATAATAAAATTTCTTTTTCACTTTTTGAACTATTGTATGCTGCATCTATAGTTTATTTTATCTAAAACAAGTTTCGATTAATTTTAATGTCAGATTTTAACAAGAAGATCACTAACAAATGGTTGCAAACCATATTATAAACCTCAAAACACGTACAATTTTCTTTTCATCATTTCCATCGATAATCGAACCGGATGGTAGGTAGGTACATGATTTAAAAAAGTTTTTTTATAGCAGCGTATGAATTAAAAAACTCGTTCAATTTTACCAAAGAATTGTTCATGTCGATGTCAATGACAATTCATTTATTTTGGAGAATGTCAATCAGTTGTCAATTCGACAATTTATAGATTATACATAAATATATCTTCGTTAAACTTTACTATTTTACAACATGTCATCGCCAGGACAACACCACCAACACCACCACCACCACCATCATCACCACCACTACTATGCCCCCTTCGAAGTGGTTGTCCACAACTCGCCCGAGGACTGCTGGGTGTCCCTCTTGGGGAAGGTCTTCAACATAACTCCCCTCCTCAAACAACACCAAGGAGAGAGCTGTGTGAAACCTCTGATAGCCATGGCGGGAAAGGACATCAGCCACTGGTTTGACGAGAAAACGGGGGATATCCAGCACTACATACACCCTGTGACAGGATGTCGAGTGCCTTACTGCCCCCATGGACCTATTCCGGACGTGTCGGTGGAGGTGCCCGCAACTTCTTGGAAACCTCTGGAGAGACTACCCTGGTGGTTGGACGAGAAGTGAGTATATCCATGTTTTAAACTACCCAGAGCAACAATATAAGTTTCTTTCCACGAGGTGATTGTATCAAACTATGAATAAATAATAATAATTGTTTTTGAATACGATTTATGTAGGGGAATGAGGGAGAATATCGACCACAAGGTAAATCAGTCTCATTCAAATCTAAAAAATTGATGCAAAGTTGCTCGTTTCAATGCTGCTACAGTCCAGGTCCAAAATACTCATTCTTTGCCGATTTTAGTAAAAACCGAATTATAATTACACTTACCTTGATATATCCAAATATCTGATGGGTGGGTATGTACTTTTTTATTTATACTAAAGTATTTCTCATGTTTTTGTCATTCCATTTTTGTGCAAATTGCTAATAATTGTTATTTTAACATTATATTCAACCATTCCATGATCTGTTCTTTTCTCGACTATGGTAAGGCGCATTATCTATGACATGGTAAGGCACATTATCTATGACAACACCGTGTTTGATATGAGAGTAAACAGTTTTTTAAATACCCACTGTCAATGTCTATATCATTATGGTGTAATATTATAATTAATAGAATAAAAAACCTAATCATTGTTGGCTTGGTTTTGGTGTGAAAAAAAATGCTTTTTTGTGACTGACAGATACCAGATCGGTCTGCTGACGAAGAGAGTCCGTCCGATCCGCATCATCAACATGCTGTGTCCCACTGAAGTGGTGCTGAACGTTTGTTGCGAGGATACCTTCAACAGAATCCTGCAGAGGTATCTCATGTTCAACAGCGACGCTGAAAGCTACAACTGGACGTAAGTGGAATATTTAAGTAATCGTTCACAGTCCCAAACTGGATTATGCAAAATTATTTAGGAACTGAAAATTTGCATATCACTTTTTCTGCACCCAATCAAACCTTTCGCAAACTAGATTTAGTCGAAGTTAAACTTCATTAGAAAAACAACAACAACAAAATATTTAATGTGAACTCAGTTGCACATTTTCAATGAACTTACATCGAAATTAGGTGATTTCATGAATTTATTATGAATTCTCCATTCATTATACATAATACATAGTAAACCAATGCATCATGAATCAGATGTCCTTAAATTGACCTATTACTGCTATTTTAGTAGTATTATTTTATTTCAATTACGTATGATTTTTCATATCAACATCAACCCATATCAAATAACTTCGATCAGTTTTTATTCAAATATCATATCGTAGTTATTCACATGTATTGTTATATATCTATTTATAACAATAAATACGGAGTCCAACGTAAGATAGCTAATTTAAAAACAGGAAATACATCAAAATACCTATAAGATGTTCGAAATATTAAGAAAAATCTGGAACTACTTTGAAATATATTAAAAACTTTAAGTTACCTCGAATGTATTTCCTTGAAAATATACAGGGTTAGTCAAAATTCACTCCCCAGCGGCCGGATATATATTCTAAAGTAAAAAGTAAAACAAAAATGTAGAATACTAAAATCTCGAAAGCGGAGCCGTTTTCGGAAAATTTTGTAAAGAAAAATTCAAATTTATAATTTTTTTGTTTAATATTAACACCATTAAAATCCATTTAAATCCATACAAAATAAGAAATAGCAAAAACGAAGATCCTTCTGACTTTGGTTAACCTTTAAAAACATTACCATTTTTGTTAATACACTTCTGCCATATGTGGTAGAAACTCTTGACAACAGAACGGAAATTAGCTTAATTTATTTCCGCTATTGCTTCATGAATCCTGCCAATAACATCATCCTCGCCAACAGGCGCAGTAAAATAAACCTTTTAGTTTATGTATCCCCATTACCAAAAGTATATCGGAGTCAAGTCAGGAGATCAGGGTGACCATGGTGTTGGTCCATCATGTCCAATCCATTTATTAGGAAAACGGCGGTTCAAAATATGTCGTACTTGTAATGTGGCATCTGCGGACGCATCATCATGCTGAAACCACATAGTTGCACGTTGTTGTAGAGGAATATCTTCTAACAAACCTGGCAAATGTTCTCGCAAAAATTACTGTACAGCATTCAGTGTTCTTGGCAAAAAATATGGACCTATGATCCTTTTCCCATAAATACCTATCCAAACATTTACAGATCAACGTCTTTGCTGATTCCGCTAACGTTTTTCATGAGGATTCTCATAATGCCAATAATGAAAGTTGTGGTGATTGAAAACTCCTTGTTGGTTGAAATGAGCTTCATCAGTAAATAAAACATTGCAGTAACCGTTCTTTCTGTTGCCATTTCTACATTTTGGATTCTTTTGTGACCGGGATGATGGCGATTCGGAAATTGTTCCCTGTACAAACGCTCAGCAGCACGGGCGTTACCGTTACAAGCTCCTAAAGCTTACTGCCAAGTAAATCCGTGTCAACAAGATTTTTGTCAACTTGATTAGTCAGTCGAAAATGGCGCATTTATTGAACTAAAATTAATAATTTATTCGAAAACGGCTCCGCTTTCGAGATTTTAGTATTCTACATTTTTTTGTTTTTTATTCTAGAATATATATATTCGGCCGCTGGGGAGTGAATTTTGACTCACCCTGTAGAAATTACTTCGAAATATCTCGCAATACCTAAATACCTCTACAAACATCGAAAATACTTTGCAATACCCAAAATATTTTGAAACTGCTATACATTCTTTAAAATACGTAGACAGTTTCAAGATAAAACAAAATTCTTTGTTTAAAATAATATGTGTTTGCCTTAGGAACATTGGTTTGTAACAGCCCCGTTTTAGAGATACAGGGTATTGAAGTTGTTAAAAAAAAATTGATTTTTTGTTTATATCTCCGGAATTTATTAACCGATCTCAATAAAATTTGCTACATATAATGTCTGATAGTAGGCCTCACATTCTCTAAAATATGAGCTTTAAAGGTTCAACCAAAGGTGTACAACTCGACAGGGGTCACCACTTTTTTACAAAAAAACCTACGCCACTGCATTTTTTACAAGTTATTGTAACTGATTTATATCTAATGCACAAAATACATAAAAAGGTGACTCTAATTTTTTCCCTAAGATTCGCCGTTCTCAAGTTATTTATACAATAGCCTTACAATCCTACAATCCTACAATCCTCTTGTGGCAGACACTTCTAACCATAATATTACAAGAATACTTATGTTTATGCTTAAAAATAAGTGCAATTTGTAAGCACATCAACAAAATTATTTACACCTTTCTACACTACCTGTGAGTTAGTGTTCCTGGCGTGTTTTAGTTTTCCCTGGAGATCTAATTAAATCAAAATAATAATAAAAATATATTTACCAAGCAACAGCAACTAAACAAGAAACAAAATTAACGTTACGTATTTACAATTGTTCAAAATACGAACCACCCACATCGATACATTTCTGACATATTCTAGTAATGGAATTAATTGAATCATGTGGTGGTTTTCTTTTAATTCATTACACCCGTCTTCAATTCGTTGCAGTAGTTGTGGTCTTGTATCTGTTGGGGTAGAATAAACTTTACTTTTCAGATAACCCCAAACATAGAAGTCCAGGGGGTTTAGATATGGCAATCTGGCTGGCCAAGACACTGGACCTTCTGCACCATTATAGTTGACATTGGCATTTGGTCTTCTACCTATCCATCGCCCCATATAATTTTCATTAAGCCATTATATTATTCTCTCAGAATGCGCAGGAGCACCATCCATTGTATCCAGCTATTTTGTCGTATATTTAATGAAGTATCCTCTAATAATTCAAATAGATGGTTTTCCAGAAAGTTTAGAAATGACTGGGAATTTAGACGGGGTGACAAGAAAAAAGACCCACAAACTTTATTGCGAATTATTCCGAGCCACACGTTTACAGAAAATTCGTGTTGAAAAGATCTTGTCNATGAGCTTTAAAGGTTCAACCAAAGGTGTACAACTCGACAGGGGTCACCACTTTTTTACAAAAAAACCTACGCCACTGCATTTTTTACAAGTTATTGTAACTGATTTATATCTAATGCACAAAATACATAAAAAGGTGCCTATAATTTTTTCCCTAAGATTCGCCGTTCTCAAGTTATTTATACAATAGCCTTACAATCCTACAATCCTACAATCCTCTTGTGGCAGACATTTCTAACCATAATATTACAAGAATACTTATGTTTATGCTTAAAAATAAGTGCAATTTGTAAGCACATCAACAAAATTATTTACAACTTTCTACACTACCTGTGAGTTAGTGTTCCTGGCGTGTTTTAGTTTTCCCAGGAGACCTAATTAAATCAAAATAATAATAAAAATATATTTACCAAGCAACAGCAACTAAACAAGAAACAAAATTAACGTTACGTATTTACAACAATTGTTCAAAATACGAACCACCCACATCGCTACATTTCTGACATCTTCTATTAATGGAATTAATTGAATCATGTGGTGGTTTTCTTTTAATTCATTACACCCGTCTTCAATTCGTTGCAGTAATTGTGGTCTTGTATCTGTTGGAGTAGAATAAACTTTACTTTTCAGATAACCCCAAACATAAAGTCCAAGGGGTTTAGATATGGCAATCTGGCTGGCCAAGACACTGGACTCTCTGCACTATTATAGTTGACATTGGCATTTGGTCTTCTACCTATCCATCGCCCCATATAATTTTCATTAAGCCATTATATTATATTAAGCCATTATATTATTCTCTCAGAATGCGCAGGAGCACCATCCATTGTATCCAGTTATTTTGTCGTATATTTAATGAAGTATCCTCTAATAATTCAAATAGATGGTTTTCCAGGAAGTTTAGAAATGACTGGGAATTTAGACGGGGTGACAAGAAAAAAGACCCACAAACTTTATTGCGAATTATTCCGAGCCACACGTTTACAGAAAATTCGTGTTGAAAAGATCTTGTCCGATTTTCATGAAGATTTTCTTGTGACCAAATATGCCATATGTTGCGAAAATTCACTACCCCTCGCCTTTGGTAAATGTACATTTATTATTACTTTGATTTAAGTTTATTTGTAAAATAGTAGGTTAGGCTTCCAGGAGAAAATAAAACGCGTAAGGAACTCTACCTCACAGGTATAGTGGAAACGAGTGTAAAGAATTTTGTTGATGTGCTTACAAATTCTACTTACTTTTAAGCATAAACATAAATATTCTTGTAATATTATGGTTAGAAATGTCTGCACAAGGGGACTGTATTGGTATGAATAACTTGAAAACGGTGAATCTTAGGGAAAAATTCTAATTACCTTTTTTACGTATTTTGTGCATTAGAATATAAAACCGTTACAATAACTTGTAAAAAATGCAGTGGTATAGGTTTTTTTTTATAAAAAAGGAGACGACCACTAACTAGTTGTACACCTTTGGTTGCACCTTTAGAGCTCACATTTTAGGGAATCATAGATTATCTGTACCAAATTTTATTGAGGTCGATTAATAGATTCTTGATATAAACAAAAAATCAATTTTTTTTTAACAACATCAACACCCTGTATCTCTAAAACGGGGCTGTTCTAGACCAATGTTTATAAGGCAAACACATATTTTAAAGAGATCTATCTGCACTCGAATTTTCCTGCATAAATTTGAAACCACCCTGTATATAATATAGACATTTTCAAGGGGTTTTGGGGTATGAATTTTAGATGTACGTATTTCAATATCCAGATTTTTAGTATATCTAGATTTTTCGAAAAATATCGATACGTTTTCAAGTAGAAGTATTTCGAAACATCTTTAGGTTTGCGGAGTATTTCGAGATTTTCGATGGATTTCGGGATATTTTGATTTATTTCTATAAATGTTTTGAATTTTTCGAGGCAAGTCTAAATTATTTCTTATGTTCACTTTAATCAGTGATGTAACGATCCACTTTTACAGGTACTTGGAAAGGTTTGTTGATATGAATAAAACAATGGACGAGAACGGTATACCGGACGAAAGGGACTTGTTCACAGATTTAGGACTACCTCAGAATTCTTACATACCATGTATCCTCCTTTACTACAAGGACGATCTTAAATATTTCGACTTTGATGATGACAACGAGGAAGAAGACATTTGCAAATAAATATTTACACATAAAAAGACGTTTGTTTGCTTAAATTTGTTGAATGATAGGTGTTAATGTCTGATTAATGTTTTGCAATGCAGTCAATTTTTTCTCAGTTCTGCCAAGACGGAGCCGGATAAATCGAACAATGCTCGGCGTCGTCGCAGACCTGCCCGCAGCATATGGGGTTTATTAACCACATGCGCTCTTATTTTGCTTCGCGGAGCGTGGCGGCAAAAGCGGAAACCATGTGGAAAACCCAGCGGACCTTCGTGGTGTAATTCTGAGGAAGGAATTCTTTACAATGTAATGAGATTGTTGCAAGACGGGAAATTTGCATACTTTCTGTGGGTATATCGATGGTAGCCTGTCACGAAACCTTCAGAATTATACAGAAAAGTAGATTTTAAGACCTATAACATTTTAAGTCGCTAAGAAGAACCAATTGATAAAAATAATAATGTTTTTATGTAGAATAGCTTGTACACATTTGGGCGAAGTGTGCAGTCCGTATGATTTTTGTTGAGATAAAATTCCACTTCATTGTAAATAATCAAAATTACCTTTAAAACAAAGTTTATTCATCAAATATTCAATTACTGACTTGTCAAAAAAACTACTAGATATTATCGTGTATTTTTTGAATTTTGTTAAAAATAATTGTTATAACATTGTTTTATTACATTTCACATTGGTATTATTTCTTTCTTTCGTGTTCTTTATGACTGCAAAAACACAAAATAGACGTAGAAAGAAAGAAATAACCTTAAAAAACAAGTCATTTTAGTCCACTTCGTCGTTCCTAGTTACTCTAAAAGTAGTTTATTATTTCTACATGCAGCAATTTCCCAATTATTTGAAATTTGCAAACTGAATAAACATTTTTGGCGACGAATTTCAAGTATTTACATAAAACGTGGTACTTACATATTTTTTTATCGGAAACACATTTCAGAATCGTATACATAGGTTCTCAGTAGGACAAATGACATGAATTTCCTTACGTACTCTTAGCCGTAGAATTCACAATTCCGCAATAAAAAAAATTGGGGTTCTTACTTAAGATTTCAAAGCTACCCCACCTACTACTAATATAATACCTATACCTACTCTATACAGGGTGGTCCAGATTTTAATAGACAAAGATAAATTTGATAAAGACGTTTTCCAGATATTTAAAAACATTATTTTATTTTTGATAATTTCAACACCCTGTATCTCATAAACGGTGGCTTTCTGCCCCTATGTTCATAGAGCAAAGTGATGTTAATTTTTGTTGTTTAATACTTTCCCGAAGTTTGTGTATTAAAATCTGGACCACCCTGTATATNAAAATAAAACGATTTATTTTAAATATCTGGAAAACCGCTCCATCCAATTTATCCAAATTTGGTACACATTTTTTTTCGAATATTTCTCCTAGTTCTGTATGCACACAGTCCAAATCCAAAAACCAGTGGCGGAGAAACAAGGACGTTGTTTCTTTATTTAGAGTAAAACTTCTACGCCACTGAATTAATTGGTAATATGTATACATTTTATAACGGTCTGAAATATTCCGGATGAAAAAACATTATTTTATTTTTGTCGAAAAGTGAATGATTTACGAGTTATGAGACATATTATCCAAGTAAATAAAGCGTTGAAATAGGGAAAAATAAAACGATTTTGGGTGGTCCAGATTTTTAATAGACAAACTTCGAGAAAGTAGTAAACAACAAAAATTAACATCACTTTGCTCTATTAACATAGGCACAGAAAGCCACCATTTGTGAGATACAGGGCGTTGAAATTAACAAAAGTAAAATAATTTTTTTAAATATCTGGAAAATCGATTCATCAAATTTATCCAAATTTGGTACAAACTTTTTTTCAAATATTTGTCCTAGTTCTGTATGCACACAGTCCAAATTCAAAAACCAGTGGCGGAGAAACAATGATATCGTTTCCTTATTTAAAGTAAAACTTTTATGCCACTGAATTAATTGGTAATACATTTTACAAGGGTCTGACACATTCCGGATGAAAAAACACCCTTTTATTTTTGTCGAAAAGTGACTGGTTTAAGAGTTATGAGACATATTATAATGCGGTTTTCCAGATATTTAAAACGCCCTGTATCTCATAAACGGTAGTTTTCTGCGTCTATGTTCATAGAGCAAAGTGATGTTAATTTTTGTTATTTAATACTTTCCCGAAGTTTGTGTATTAATATCTGGACCACCCAAATTTGTTTTATTTTTCCCTATTTCAATGCTTTGTTTACTTGAATAATATGTCTCATAACTTGTAAACCATTCACTTTTCGATAAAAATAAAAGAATGTGTTTTCATCCGGAATGTTTCAGACTATTATAAAATATATTCTTATTACAAATTAATTAAGTGGCTAAGAAGTTTTACCTTAAATAAGTAAACGACATCCTTGTTTCTCCGCCACTGGTCTTTGAATTTGGACTATGTGCATACAAAACTAGGGGAAATATTCGAAAAAAATTGTGTACCAAATTTGGATAAATTTGATAAAGCCGTTTTCCAGATATTTAAAAAAAATGTTTTATTTTTGTTAATTTCAACGCCCTGTATCTCATAAACGGTGACTTTCTGCGCTTATGTTCATAGAGCAAAGTGATGTTAATTTTTGTAGTTTAGTGGTTTCCCGAAGTTTGTGTATTAAAATCTGGACCACCCTGTATATCACACATGAAAAGCATGACTTAATAGTTAACAAATACGTAAATTAAAGACCATCTCGGTAGACAACACAACGAAATATCTTAATAATTATAAAATGAAGTACCTACTTATATTCTGAACCATATGGTGAATACGTTCAGATTAAAATTGTTGTAAATGTATATTATTTAACGTCGGTAGTTCACGCAGGTGTGGGTTGGTTATCCATGAGGAGAACAGCTTTAATTTCTGTAGCACAATGGTATACTAGCAGCGAAACGGAACGAGATACCTATCAAAATATTAATTAACAATTTGCCGGGTGTACAGCATTTTTTCTGTTGCCTACATATGAACTACATTATTTTTCTATAAATAAGTAAGATTTAAAGCAGCGTAGTTCCTATGTTTTATAAGATGAGCAATTAGAATGAAGAATCTTATAGATTTTAACTGGTAATGGAGGTTAATTATTTAAACAAATTGTCTACCTACAACTTTGTTTCTAATGATTTCCAAACATATTTTTTTGATAAGATAGTGGAGAAAATCAGTTTTTAGTTAAAGTTTGTGCGAATTTTTTTTCTCGTGGCACGAAAACCGTTTGGTATAGGGACAAATTGACACCAAATTCGAATTTCTTGCACCCAACTGATTAAGATAAGCGTGGGGAAAAGTGACACCAATGTCAAGTCATGGTTTAACTTAAAATTATTACTTGAATTATGTCCTGCTTACAGTAGGTATCTACAAATTTTGGCTGATAAAAACGAGGCTTTTTATTTCCAAAAGACTGGTTTTTTAAACTTAGTTTTGACTGAAAATATTTTTAGTACGTAAAATAGATTCTTCAATAATTTAAAATTTTTGTATAGAATGGCGAATGCGCTAGTGTTATTGATTTCGGTAATGAAAAATATATTTTCAAATTCAAAAGAATTTGAAACACCCTATAAATTGACATGAAGAAGCGTTATAATGCATTGATATAGTGTCATCTACATGTTAACATTGTTGTTGATGCTTGGTAGTTTAAATTTTTTTCTCATTATACTTAAGTTAGAGCTCCTTTTTTTGCGAACTGTGGAAAAAAAAAATGTGTATATTTTCAGCACGTCGAAATATGTACGTTAGGATGTTTTCACCTAATTCCGATCACCTTCCATATTTTAAGAATTTTTCCTTGGAAATTTTAATGAACTGCTCATGAAAATCATCTAAGACTTTATTATCATCTGGTATTCTTCATTTATGAAAATCCATGAAAACAATTTTAGTCAAAAATCAATGAATTAATTTATACTAAGCTCAAGTAGAATCGCGTCTTCGTTATGGTGTCTGTTTCTGGGGTGATTCCACCCGCTCACATTCTATTTTTATTTCACAGAAGCGTATTTTGCGCAATATTGCTGGTGTTCCCAGTGAACATACCTGTAGAAATATTTTTTAACAGTACAAGATTTTAACTTTAAGTTCGTCATTTATATTTGATATGTGTATTTATGTTTTTAAAAATAGGCAAAAATGTTATTTAGTACCTTTTTCTAAATTGTCAATTACCAATAAATCACCATACTATTTGGGGCCTAAAATTTTTAATAAATTACCTATTGAATTAAGACAAGATAAAGTATATCTTTATCAATTTAAAGTAAATGTTCTTATTCCTTGGGTGAGTTTTTTGCTTCCCAGGTTAAGTCACATTTGTTTTTACTTTAAATATCTGCTATATGCATAACTGACTATTGTTATACAATTTGTAATTATCTCAAGACAAAATAAAACATCTATCTATCTATCTATCTATCTATCTATTCAACCTTCTGATGGCGGCAGTCATTTAATTCAATTTTAAAATCTCTTTTTTATATACTCTTTGATGGTATGGAAATATATTCATTTTTCTAAGTAAACATAAATGTCTAATCAAAAGAAAAGCGTGATATTGAAAAATAACATTAAATAGAACGACACAGGCATACTAATACTCAAACATAAAAAATAAGGGGTATACAAAAAAGTAATAAGACCATAAAATTTAAATATTAATATTTTGTTAGTGTTAATTTGTAAAAAAAGTTGTAATAAATTAAAACGATATCCATCAACTCTAAGTTGCTATACACGCAAACCATTTTTGACACTAACTACTAAAAAACTGTTGTAAACACCACAGATAACAGGTAAAAACTACCGCAACGACGGATTTCAGTATTAGTAGTCACATGGTTCTCCACGCGTATTGCGAATGACGCTAGAGACTACAGTTGTTCAGCTATGTAGTGGTTGAATGTACTATAACTTCAATAATTTTTTTCTCGGAAACTATAAGGATTTTACAA